CCCTCCCTCCCTCCCTCCCTCCCTCCCTCCCTCTGCCAGCCAGTCGGTCGGTCGGTCGGCCCACCCGTCCGTCCGTCCCTTCATTCATTCTTTTATTTATTAGCTGGTGTGAACTAGGACAACACATTGTTTATATAGATTGAGCTATGAAGAGTTACTGTCACAAACAAGAGCAACTCATTCATTCATTCATTTGTCTGTTACCTGGTGAGACTTGAGTCCAGTCTGTATAGCAAAAGACTTGCCACACACATCACACTCGTAGGGTTTCTCACCAGTATGTGTTCTCATATGGTCCCTCAGCCTAGCAGGCCTTGTAAACTGCTTAGTACATAGCTCACATTTATATGGCTTGTCACCACTGTGGGTGAACTTATGCTTGACAAGATCAAAGGATTGGATGCAGGCAAAATCACATTGGTCACACTTGAAGGGCTTCTCTCCTGTAAGGAACACACAGATAGGAATTGAAATTTCCAAACAAGATATACTCTAAATAATATATATTATCATATGACTCGTATCTGCTCGAGTGCGCGCTCTTAAAAAAAACTTTGGGAAAATGGCTTGAGCCGGGCCATATGGCTTTGAGCAAGCAGAGCAGGGGCGTACGAATCTGTATGGCCCTGCTTGAAACCTGCGACCATATTGACATAATTTGCAACTTTTAAAATATCTTTTTTACTTAGGGTCATATGATAAAATGCTTATTGACTGAGTGGGAGGGCCGTACTGAAAAATATTTGGCTCTAGGTCATTTGTACGGACCGACTACTCTTCTGCACAGGATTTTTGTATGGCATCWCCTCGAGCCAAATATTTTCCCATACGGCCCTCCCACTCAGTCGATAAGTACATAATAATCAATCACTATTACAATATCAAAATAATAAACAAAAACAAAAAAATCCAAAGGTATTTAAGCAGTAAGCTCCTACTATTATTGCATGGAAGTCTCCAACAATAGTAGTAGTAGCATATTATTTTTAGTGTGTGAGTGTGAGGGGTAGGGAGGTGGGGGGATAAAATGACAGTTAATTTACATATTGAGGGACGTAAGTTTAGGTAACTTAAAAGATTATTGTCACCCTTCTTATAAATAAAGTTTATTATCAGTTTATCATAATATGCATGTCGTAATAATACATTAGCTAAGATGTCACACTTGTATTTGGTTGGTTCATAAGATTGGGGAGGAGACAATACAACCAAGCCTTTGCCTGAGGAGTTGAGCGAGAACCACTCCCTAGACCACCAAATTTTACAACTACATCTGTATAAAGACATTATCTGTCCTTAAAATTTTCATTCAAAGTTTAGACTATCCTAGGATCAAGAAAAACAACTATTATCAAAGATAATGGTTGTTGATTTGTGGTACCGTAATTCTGAGGGAATAAAGACTTTTGCAGGACCCTACTGTAAAATACTTATTTGACGTAGGCAGTCCTATATAGAGATTGGTTATTATTAGGGCTTACCAGTGTGTATACGGTAATGGCGCTTCAAGTCATCATATCTTATGAAAGCTTTCTCACACTTATCACACTTGTGGGGCTTCTCTCCAGTGTGACGGAAAGTATGCCGTGATAGTTCTGCAGCAGTCTTAAAGGCTTTGTCACAGCCTTCATGGGTGCAAGCATGGGGCTTCTCTTCTTGGTGGACACGCCTATGGACCCTGCAAGGATAATGAACATATTTTTAAACTTGTGGCAAAACTTTCAAGTAGCAGATTTTTTATTAGAGATTTTTTCTCGAAAACAACACTTTCACCTCCCTCCAGAGGCATAATATTTTCCCATTTCAAATGATGTGTCATTCTCGCAAGAATAAGATTCTTTGTTTGAGTTTTATCTATATTCATGTGTCTTCTGAGTGTGTTTATATTGCTACTCACTGATTGGGTTAACAGTTGCAACAGTGAAATCAGGCAAAACACTGCTCTCAATTAGAGTATGGATAGGTACAAAGCAATTTATTTGATTGATGCTTTTGCTTAATTTGCCTGTTGCAACTGTTGTCTCAACCAGCATTATGCAATAAAAGCAGTAAACAAACAAATCAGACTGAAGGGAATGACATGTGGTCTGAAAGGGGAAAATAGTGGAATAGGTTTATTGGGATAAGCATAATGGCAAGTTTGAAATCCATTGAAGTCTTATATTACCTCAAAGACCCTGGATTATTAAAGGCTTTTTCACATGTGTCATGATCACAGATAAATGGTCTGTCTTCCGAATGGGATAGAACATGAGATCGTAATGAACTTGGGTTGTTAAATGCTTTATCACAGTATTCACATTCATACGGCTTCTCTCCTAAAAAAAGAAGAAAGAAAAAGAAGAAAGAATTACTTTCATTATCTCAGTTTGGACAACTTCTCTTTGCAACTTCTCTTTTACCCAAAAAAGTCAAAAAAACTTTTTGCCTCAAAATTCCCATGTCATACTAAGGGAAACTCTAACAACAGGACCAAGATGTTTTTACTGGCCTTATGACATCTAGATACAGGAGTGGATCCAAGGGTGATAAATGGGGTGACCGGTATCCCCCCCCCCCCCCCTGCACAAATTTCTCAGTAAATCGTTAGTAACAGTCACCCCCTTTTCCCTCAAATTCCTGCTAAAATCTTTGTAATAGTCACCCCCCTTCTAAAATTCCTGCATCTGCCCCTAAAATAAGTGAGGTCCTCCCCACTTAATATGTAAAAAGTTTTGACATATGACATATGTTATCATTGTTGACCCTTTCTTTATCACATCTCCACAAAACCATGCAAACCAACAGCACCAAACCAGTAGATAATAATTGCAAATGACTTTTTTATAAATTTTAATACCTGTATGAATGAGCATGTGTTGTCGCAAGTTGCTTGCATAATTGAAGACTTTGCCGCAGACCTCACATTTGTGCTGCTTTTCACCTGAGGCATGCTCTCTCATGTGGCTGTAATAGGACCATGAACGGATGTAGGATTTACCACATATATCACATGTATACTTGGGCTTATTCTCATCTAGGACAACAAAAAAGATCATCAAAAGTTATTTGAATTATAAGTTATTTGTCAAGCAAGTGTGAGTTTGACCTGACAATAAGCTACTGTGGTCTGGTAGTAATGAGGTACATACAGTAAGTCTTACTTTATTATCATAACAGAAACAAAGTGTTCAACCAAACTGAACTTTGGCTATAATAATTAACCAAACTAAAAACCTCAAATTAAGAAGACGATTCTCTGATGACTGCTTGCCATTAATAGGATTGCACAGCTTTGCCACAAACTTTGGATTATTTTGTCAAATAATAAACACCACATTCTGCCCTCTGAGATACTCACCATCACCTTCTCCCTCTCCTTCACCCCCTTCTTGTCCCTCTGCTACTTCACCTTCCGCAGGTTGATGGCTTTCTACCTCACTAATATCTGAAGCAGCAACTGTTCCAAGGCCACTATGACCAGCTGCTTCTCCTGCAGCTTCTCCTGCGGCTGCAGCCGCAATAATGGCATCTGTGTTGCTGGTTATGAGAGAAGTAACTGCAGTGGACATGTCAGAATTGGTTGAGGTCACAGCTGATAAGTGTGAGATGGGTACCTGGATGGTCTGTCCATTTGGTAGGGTGATAGTATGTGACATCACACCTGACTGTGTGGTGGTAGCAATCTGAAACATTTTTCAAATATTATTGGCTTTGGATCTTGTCTTAGGAGTCAGGATGACATGGTGGTAAAGTGCTCCCCTCTCACCTCTGGTATTCAAATGTGGGGTTGAAATCCCAGTTAGTTACCCCATGTTGATTTGTTATCTTTTTGACTCCAAGGGTTTTTCTGCAGCCCCCACCCCC